GGTCAGTACTTGGGCTTTAAGGGTCTTTCTACTCTCGTACCGAATGTCAAATTCGGAGAGTTCCAATGACCATTTAAGCATTATGTCGGCCATGTCAGGACGATCGAGCAACTGCTTTACGGGCTGGTCAGTTCGGACCACGATTGTGTGGGCTAGAAAATAGTGTCTTAATCTCCTCGCCGCATTGATGAGGGTTAACGCTACCTTTTTTTATCAGCTAGTATTTGAGTTCTGGTCCTTGCTGGTGAAGTATATGGGTTTCTGTCCGTCGGGGGTCTCACGAATGAGAGTCGTGCTGCCAGGCTCGACTGCGACGGCGAGGTAGAGGTAAAGAGTCTCTCCATTGTCCGATCGCGAAAGGACTGGTGGATGTGATAGAGCTCGTTTGAGGTGGAGGAGGGTTTGCTTGCACTCCTCAGTCCATTTGTATGTTGCTTCCTTGCGAAGAAGTTTGAAAAGGGGAAGCGTGTTGGGCAAATTTTGCTACGAAGCGGGATAGCAAGGTGAGCATCTCGTTCAGGGACTGAATCGACTTCTTCGAGTTTGGCGTTGAGAATTCGGAGAAAGGCCTGCATTTGTCCGGGTTCACTTCAGTTCCTCATTCAGTTAGATAGAAGTCGAGGAACTTGCTTGCTCGAACGCTAAAGGTACACTTCTCCGGGTTGAATCTCATTTTGCATTTCCTAGCCTAGTCGAAGAATCTCTTGAGGTGAAGCGTGTGGTCGATTTCCTCTTGGGACTTTACGATCATGTCGTCCATGTAGACCTCGAGCATGTCTCCAATCTCACCTCGGAAGACTTTGTTCATCATCCGCTGGTAAGTAGCACCGACGTTTTTCAGGCCGAAGGGCATTACGTTGTGGTAATAGTTGCCCGACTCGGTCATGAAGGTCTTGTAGTTCTCGTCCCCTTTTTCCATGGGGATTTGGTTGTACCCTAAATACGCGTCCGTAAATGACAACAATTTAAAACCTGCAAAGTTATCGGTCATTCGATCTATGTTAGACAAGGGATAAGCATCTTTAAGGCAAGCCCTGTTAAGATCAGTATAATCAATGCACATTCTCCACTTTCCATTAGACTTTTTAATAAGTACAATGTTTGAAAGCCAAGTTGTGTACTGGGCTTCCTAAATAAAATTTCCCTTTAGGAGGTCTTTTACAGCTTTTTCAGCAACCTCCGCTTTTTTGGGAGACTGCTTATGCCAACGTTGTACTACGGCCCTAGCGGCGAGATCAATGGTAAGTTGGTGACAGGCGACGTCGGGGTCTAGTCCGGGCATCTCTGCAGCGCTCCATGCGAACAAGTCAGGTTTTCTCTCAAGCAGGCCTTCAGTTGCTTCCTCACGAGGTCAGGGAGATCAGTGACAATCTTCACTCCTTTGTTTGGGTCGTTGCCGAGGAGGATGACTTTGAACTCGCCGTCAAGAATAGGGCGTTTCGAATGGGCAGGCTCCTCGTTGACATCTGGTGCCAGGGAGGTTTCTGCTGCTAGTCGGGCTCCTTTGTCTTTCTTCTTCTGCTCCTTCAAGTCATCCTTGGTGAAGCGGCTGTCAATATCGACCGAGTCGACGTGGGGCATTGGCTTCGGCTCCTCGGAGGTTCTGGGTCGAGTTGGCTTTCCCGGTGTTCTAGACGGCGTGTTGATAGTGTTTCGTCCATTTGAGGTCGCTTCAAAGCATCTCCTCACAACTTCAATGTCGTCGTGAATGGTGGTGATGGGGCCTTTGGCATGTAGTATTTCATCTTTAGATAGATAGTGGATGGCACGACGATCAGTTTGGCCAGAGCTGGTCTCCCCAGGATGAAATAGTATAAAGAAGGGTAGTCTATGATTAGGAATTGGACATTGATCGACTTGGCGGTTTCATCTACTCCGGTTGTGCCAATCAGTTCGACGTATCCCCACGGCCTTGTGGTTGCTTTGTTGAAGCCCTGCAGATTAGAGCTCACATAGGGTGTCAAGTGTGTTTCGTCGAGCTGCAAAGTTGAGAACAATTGCGAATACATGATGTCGGTCGAGCTTCCCTGGTCGACCAGAATGCGGCGAATGTCAAAGTTTTCTATTTGTGCTCTCACGAGAAGAGGCATGCTGGAGTTATGGGCTCCTTCGGGGAGCTCCTCGTGGTAGAAGGTGATGGGATTCGAGTTTCCCCGACACTTGTCGAGGGTGGATTTTTTGCTCGAGCTTGCCTCGATGAGTTGCTCGAACTTCCTCTACATTGAACCCACATTAAGTTTGTTGAACCCCCGCTAGATATGACCATGGCCTCGTCAGGGACGTAGAAGTCCTCGGGCCGAGATATCAACATGGCGACTGGTAGGTTGGCGGCGATGTCGGAGGGTGTCTTCTCCTCCTCGGCCCTCTTCGCTTCTCAGGCATCTTGTCGATGAGTGTCTCTTCTCTTGGTGTATTGTTTTAGGTGCCCATCTCTGATGAGGAATTCAATTGCATCCTTTAGGTGGATGCACTCTTCAGTCACGTGCATGTGGCTCTTGTGGAACTGCCAGTATTTGATATTGTCCGCGGGGGGTTGGCAGGTGTCTGTTTGGGAAAACGGACTCTAATTTGGCGGAATACGGAGTTCGCGCACTCGGACAAAATGTTGTTGCGGGAGGCGGTCATTGGTGTGTACTCGGCAAACCCGTCAGCAAGTCCTTTGAACTCCCATGAGTCACAAGGTTTATCCTCATTCCTTTTTTCTCCTCCACGGCGAGGCGTCAGGTCGTCATGCCTCGAAACCCTGACGTTTTCTTGGTGCCTTGATCTCGAGCATTATTGGCAGCTTCTTTCTCCTCGTACTGGATTTAGACCTGGGCCTTGAGGAAGAGGGCATTCAGTGACGCGGGCGTTTCAATGCCGACAGCTTTTGCGAAGTCACTGCGGGGGCACAGTCCTCGCTCGAGCAAATATTTCTTCATGTCGTCGGTCGTGGAAACCTGGATAGCTTCGCGGTTGAACCTCTCGATGTAAGCTCGGAGGGACTCATTCTTCCCCTGCATGATTGCCTCGAGTGTCACCTCAGACTTTGGATGGCGACGTGAGGCAGTGAAGTATCTCGAGAATCGCCTTCCTAGGTCCTTCTAGGAAGTGAAGGATTCTTCGGCGAGACTTTTGTACCATGTCATGGCACCTTTCCTCAAGGTTGTGGGGAATAGCCTGTACTTGATGGCGCTTTTGACGCCGTGGTAATCGAGCAGCACATCAATGTTATCGATGTGCTTGTCGGGATCTATCGTCCTGTCATACATCCCCAGGTTCGGGGGTTTCTCCAGCCCGACGAGAAGCGGAGCATCCATGATCGCTCGAGATAATGGACCGCGGGGGTCGTGTTTGATGCTCCTAAGTGGTGAGCGCGGCAGGGAGTAGTCGTACTTTTTCCGCCGAGGACTGTCAACGCGGCGTGGCGGCGAATCCCTCGGTCGGATCTTCAACTTGCACGGGGGAGACCGACGGTTGTCTAGCTGTTCGTTGGCTTTGTCTTCTTGGCAACCGGGGAGCGTCGGTCCTCGTGGAAAGGAGTACGGTTGCGCTTCAGGGGTTGTGGCCTCTCTAACTGTGGTTGGCGGCCAGACCGTTGTGGCGACGGGCTGCGAGACTCGTACCGTTGGTGTCTCCGCAGAGGAGAGCGTGGGCGGAGGTCTTTCTTCAACGCTCTGATCCTTTCATTTTGCTGGAGGATCAGCGCGTTGATCTAGTTGAGAGCCACAACCAGGGCGACCATAGTCGGGTTAGCGTTGGCCGACACCGGGATTGGTTGGAATTTCTCTGGCATCTTCTCCAGAGCCTTTTGAACTTTCCGGATCTCAACATACTGGACATCATCATCGGCCGCCTCCTTATATGAGGGAGAAGCGGTGTGGCCGTCTCTCCTGGTTGGAGTGATGTCTTTCATAAGCGACATACCGTTGTCATTGTTGGCGTCGTGGACGGGAGTGAGGATTGATTTTTGAAGTTTTCTGTTTTGGTCTGTTGGTTTTAAGGAAAGAAAAGACGGGGCAACAAAGTTCCCACAGACAGCGCCACTGATCTAACATGTGGATCAGAACGTGGCCGGTAACACTTCTGCAGCAGCAACGGTCAACAAGAGCAAAAAAGGGGGTGTACCTGCAGACACTCTGATGCTTAAGTCAGTCGGGTGAAGAGGTAGCAAGAGAGTAGAGAATAGAATAGAACAAAATACCTGACCCTCTTTCAGAGGAGGGTATTTATAAAGAGAGAGCCCACAACATTGGACCAATGGTCTCCGTTGTGGGCTGAGTGTCCAGACCCACAACAAATGACTGCCAGGACTCCTACGTGAAGGTAGGAATGAACAGCTCGTACTTATCATCCTGGATCAGTTGCTTTGCATTTCTCGGATGGTGGGTGGACTTGGCAGTTATGAAGAGTAGAAGAGTTCCACGAGGTGTGCGGGCCAAGCTGATGACGTGTCCTCAGGTGAGGAGCACGTGAAAAGTGTGTCTTTTATTGGCCCCTAACGAATTGGGCTAGCCTTCTAAGCCTTCCTCGACGTAGCACTGAATTGGACCGTGCTCAACGCTAGGTCAACCACAAGCCCAGTCCAGACCACAAATGTTGCATTTCCAAGCACATTATTTACACGTCAAAAGGATTTTATTTTTGACCATCTACAAAAATTAATTTTCCAGAACTCACTTTTAAAATTAGATTTTCTAAAAAAACTTAATTTTAAGTCAAATGTGCAGAATCAGTTCTATCAGAATCTAAAACAAACATGTCATAAGTGTTGTAACAGATGAATAATTAACAGTGTCAAAGTTGAGTATTTTTTGACAATTCTTTCACAAGTTTATTTCTTAAAAAAAGAGTATTTACTGTAAGAAAATAAAAGGGATTACATGAAAAGAGTCACTACAAATCAATTAGACTTCAACAGGGACATAACTCACTCAGAACTGATGCATCAGATTTCCAAGTGAGCATGCATGGTTTCATATCCTAGGCCGCTACTTATAGCACTCATCAATCGCTCACATTTACTCAAGAACTCGATCCACAGCAAAAGGCGCACTGTCAACTTTTCCTGTACGGCCCAACACCACATCAACGACCATTTCAGCAGTCCCCAAAGCCTGGAAATTTGTCCATATTAGAAGACTTCTTAAGGCCAACAAATTTTTAAAAAATTGCATTTCCTCTAAAAGAAGGAAGTCAAAATTTCTGAATGACTCGCTGTTCATGTAAAGGCTGAATCATGTAAAGGCTGAATCGCTAAAACTTCGCTCCCTACAAACGTGTTAACCATATTTAACTCACTAACTAACTCTCCCTTAAACCTTACTCTGTTTCTTCTAGAATATCCTAGGTATCGGGGGCTCAATCATGCCTTCCATATGTGTCATTTCAACATATATCAAGATAATGCGTCCATGTCTCCTTTTTATAACAAAATTAGGAGTATCTGAAAACTCACCATTGAAAGTCCACCCCCTTCATGTCCAGCCGCAAGGTACACATTTGACAAGCCAGGCACAGGCCCAATCATTGGCTTACCATCAGGCACTGACAGGGTAAAACATTGTGCAAGTCAATATTGCATATTGTAAAGATAACTTTTGCAAACAAAATTGCTATTTAGTATGAATAACAGAGAACAAACTGATTATGAATCAAAGTAGATAAATTTTTTATTTCGTAACATTATCTAATGGTTCACTAAAATTGTAATAACTTTACATACTATTTATTTTTATAGTTTTAGTAATGGAAATAAAATATAAATGAACTTTGCTATTTAGTTTGAAACTTCTGTACAAACTTTTGATAAAGAAGATAAGGACTAACCATACAGAGGAAGGGAAATGTAAATAATTATTAGAGCTGATAAAAAAGATTCTTGCAATTCGTAAAAATTGTTTCGTAGTCTTTAGCTTTTAGCTTTTTGCAATATAATACAAATAGATCAGCTGCATTAGATTGCAAAGAGATAATGTAACTCACTGTATGGCCGTAATCCTATTCGGACTTTTCTACTTGCGCTTAGGTCTGAAAGGGAAAGCATTTTCAATTTTGGGAAGAACTCTGCAACCCGCTTCCATATGAGACTGATAACAGACTCATCCGAATCAGTGTTGAACCCAACAAACTCCCGGCTGCTCCCTTTAACAGAGAAAGTAATTTGGTTTTTTACAACAATAATAAGAAAAACAATGTTAAGTTCTAGAAGATAATAGGAGCATTTACATCAACTGCCAATATTAACGTAAATCATGAACTTTTTATTTTTTATTTTTACTCAATATCATGAACTTAATCTATAACTAACAAAACAGTTGTAAATAACGTATACTATTTAAAATTTTGAAATATATCAGAAATGTTTTCTAAACTAGGAATCAATCATAATCAGCCTCCATCTATTGTTGTTTACCGATAAGAAGATTTCCTGCTGCGTCTATTGTTGCTGTCATTGAAACTGATAAGTTCTGTGCATGGTCGGATGATTCCAAACCAGAAATAGATGGATGGTCAACATAACCTGCCTCCATCAAGCCATGGTTCAATTGAAGAGAATTGAAGTTCTGAAGTGCGAGTAGGTGACCCTTCACGCCAAACAGAAGAAATAACATAGTACAGGAATTAATCAGACGACAAAATAAATTGATCAGATCAAAACATTTTATCCATTTTAAAGGAGTTTTACTCATGATACGATAATATTCTATTTGCATGACCATGAACTCATGATCAACAATTCAAATATTTTGTTTGGGCACTGGTGTTTTAGATGAGTGACTAGAATGCCCTAGCAGAATTTCAGATTCCAAAAGTCAGGGCCAACTAATATCCTGATAATCCCGTGACATAACAAAACTCAAAATACAAAAACAAGTAAGACTAAGGCTTGAATCTTAAAACCATCCCACCTTTAATTTTAATTTTGGAGAGAAGCATTATGGTAGAAAAATGAAAGTTTAGAGGGAAATTTGAGATTTGAATGTTGAGAATGATTTTTCAACAGAGTACAGATAAACAAATTCCACAAACAAAAGAGTACAACTGCATAGTCTTTGGTAAAATAAAACAAACTACATAGTAGTAAAGCATATCAATGTGCTTGGTAGACTACATTGTTTGGAATAACAAAACAACGAAGGGATTCAAAGGTGTGCAACGGACACCGGAAACACGACACTGACCCTGAGACGTCGAGACCAGTAATAATTAGAAAAAATGAATAAATTAAGCGTAATCACAAGTGTCGGTATCGGTTTCAGACACGGACACTGACGTGGACACATTTTTTTTCCAGAGGTGTCGGTGCTACGGAGTGCAAGATTGAGTCAGTTCAAGTTGTATAAAGACACACCTTTCTGGGCCTTACAGGAACATGAAACTCCATTCCCCAATTTCTAAACAAATCCTGCATCAAAGAACCAGTCCAACAACCAGCAGCAACTATAACTGCCTTCTTGCTGTATAATGTATTCTTGGAAGTCTGAACAGCTTCAACGCCATTGCTATCTGACCTGAACACATAACCGAACCGAACATGGCATTTACTCAACAAGGTTTATTTATCTACCACCTTGCTTTCAGTGCTACCATAGTACAACAGAAGGGAAACGAAAATTAAACCTGATGAAACATTTCACAGGGTCATCATAAAATTCTGCATATCTTCCTTTTGATGCAAAGTTTCTGTTAGCCTACATTTCCATAATGAACTTGTTACTATGTGTCTGCAATCATATAACATCACACTGATATTGACAAGTCTGTAGATGAAGAAAAATATAAATCTAAACCTATATAATTTTATGTTTTTGTTTAAATCTATACCTATATATTTTTATGTTTTTGTTTAAATCTATACCTATATATAAAGGGTTATACTGTTTTTTATGTAGCTTTTTTTCCCTTCAATTTTCCCACCATTTAAACTCTTACTTAAAATTTTATCATTTTTTACCTAATAAAATAATAGAAGTTAATCCTAATTAAATTTTGAGTCAAAATCTAATTCAATCCTTAAATCAATCAAATCAAAATCAAAACTAATCCTAACTTAATTTTGAACTAAAAATTAGCAATTAAAATAATAATGCTAACTGATATAATTTTGTCCAAAACTTCAAGCTTAATTTTTCACCATGAAGGAGGTCGACTATAATTTTCATTCGACATAAGCTGTCACCATGAAAGAGGTTGCTAGTATTGATAAAAGTAAATGATACACAAAAAAGAAACGGACCAAGAATGAAGACCTTTTCAAGATATGCAACAGCACGATGAGCATCCAATTGACAATCATCAGGTAGAAATGCAGCTGCAGTATCTTTATCTACCAACAGATCAGGTTCCCGTTTAGACAAATCCATGCTACACAAGTACTCTGCTTTCAGCCCAGCCTCACTTAGCTGCTTCACCCTCCCTTTTAACGTGTCTGACTCTTCACAAGTTCTACCAACTAAAAGGCTCCCTGTAGATCATAAAACTTGTTTATCATAGTATTTAATTATTGAGAGACCTGAAAAGCCTTCATCGTGATTATAAAGTATTAATGCCCCAGGCATATTGCTACATAGCACTATAAAAGACATAAAACATCTCCAACTCACAATGATATGAAAGCATACAAAGAGAAATTGAAGAAAGATAGTACTATTATACCAGTTTTTTTCCAACCCAACTCCACCATAGGATCCAACCCTTGCTGTTGTAGGTTTTCTGCCATCATCATCCAAAGTTGATGGCTTCTCATAGAAAGATCCCATGCAGCAGTCCCGGGTGTTTTGTGTGTCATCCATAGATATCCCTGCCCTAGAACCAGCTCAAATTCCAAAACAAAGGAAGAGATCCTACAATTAATCAAAATTCAGCATGAAACTATATGTTCTTTTTTTACTTCAACAACACAAAAGGGGGAAAATGGAAATCTCACCGACAAGCCAAAATAATTAAAACAATCCAATGGCATACGGATGATGGTTTTATAAGTGATTAAAATAAAAGGCAAACTCTTCTGAACATCCAATGGCTATGATTAATTGAAAGTGTAAAACCTTTTAGATTGACGGTGTATTTCAATTAAATTCTTTGAAACACCTACTATGCATCCCGTAATTGATGAAACACAAATAAAAAACACAGCCAGACTAACTAACAAAACATTCCATCAAGGATTAAACTAACTGATCAAAGACGCATTCAACGACTAAACTAACTAATATAAAGATATTAAATGGTATACCTGCGCCAGTGGCACCAGAACAAGGAACACCTTTATCAACAATGGCGACTGACAACTCCGAATCCATCAGAAACTGGCGAGCAACGGTTAAACCAATGATACCAGCACCGACTATAACAACATCAAACGCCTGATCAGAAGATGAGGACCGAGTCATCCGGTTTCCGGTTGCGGGGAGTTTGTATTTGTAGGAAATGGATCTGTTGGTCAGTGATGAAGAGGAATTAGAGGGAAAAGGAGAATAGTGATAGATGATGCCGTGAGCATGATGAAGAGTAGCCATATTAATTTTCTTCTTCTGTTGATCGATACAATTAATAATCAAATGCAGAAGGTGCAAGTTGTTGATTTTAATATTGGAGAAGATGCCATTTTTTTTTTAAAGACTCGAAAGTCTTGTGATAAAGTTGGATTTTTGCTCTTCACTGCTTCGAAGGGATGAGAAAGAAAGAACCGGTTGATGACGATCAAAAGTATTCTCACTTTTTAAATTGGAAATTGGAGATAAATATTGTTTCACAGACTGTCTTCTAGCACACATGGGTTCCACTGGATTTTCTTCTTTCTCTATAATTATATAAGGCAATTATCACTTTATTATACATTGCATGTTGCGTCTTAGTAATTAATTTCATAATGCTAATAATATCCATTTTATAATTTACAGCATTCAATTTTAATAGTTTTTAAAAATAATTTACTCTCAAAAAGTAACTAAAAAACAAAAAAGGTAAGTGAAAAGTTGAGTTTTGTAGTAGATTTTTTGATTTATTAAAAAAACCGAAGGGTTTTATATTGGAATTATTGAAGAATTAATGGTGTGTTTTGTAGCTATCGAATTTTTTGAAAGGGAAAAGGTGGTTAAATATGTATTGCAAGTAAGATTCATCAAGAAGTTTGAAAAAGAAAAGGCAAAACAAAGAAAAATTTATGCAAATAATGAGAAGTCAAGTAAGAGTTCAAAGAATCACTCTACTTCAAGCAAGAAAGTCATGGGCAACAATTATTCAGAAAAGAAAATTGACATGAAGGATGTGCGGTATTACAACTATCAAGGATTTAGCCATTGTGCTCAAGATTGTCGAATAAAGAAGAAGTCAATAGCAAACGATACTGACGAAGTGCAATATGCACATGCTGGAGGAAGTGACTCTAATGATATGCTACTCATGACAAATACTTAGTCGAATAATGAACAAATCAATATGTTGTACATGGATTCAAGATGCAGTAACCACATGACTGGTAATAAAAATTGGTTAACCGAGTTAGATGAATCAATCAAGAAAGTGATCAGGTTTGCAGATGGCAAGCATGTGACGTCAAGTGGAAAATGAAACATAACTATGGTAAGAAAAGATCGTAAGGGGACAATATTACTAACGTATTGTATATACCTTTTATGACAAATAATTTGATAAGCATGAGTTAATTACTTGCCAAAGGGTATAACATGAAGCTAGAAGAAAATCTGATGAAGGTGTATAATGGTGAAGGAAGGATGATTTTGAAAGCACCGTTGATAGATAACAAAACCTTCAAGATTTTGAAATGAGGAAGGTATAGAGCATGAGGTCATTGCACCCTATACATGTCAGCACAATGGTATAGCATAGAGGATAAGTAGAAGTATATTGAACGTGACCAGGAGAATGTTGAAAGCTAAAGAAATGCCAAAGAGATTTTGGGGTGAAACAGTTTCGACAGTAGCATACATTTTAAAGAGATGTCCAACCAAGAAGATAGTCAAGACTGAAGCTAGATGTTAGTCATCTTAGAGTTCTTGGATCAATGTGTTTCAGGCATGTACTTGAACAATTAAGGAAAAAGCTAGATGGTCGAAGTTAAGATATGGTGCTCATAAGTTATGATTCGACAGGTGCATACAATTTGTATTCACCAAATGATAATAAATTAGTGATCAGTAAGGATATTTTGGTGGATAAAAGAAAATGGTGGAACTGGACTGAGGGGTCAATTCAACATGAGCAAGATACATTCAAAATTGTGCTTGAAGAAGACCAATAAACTGAAGTCACAACTAATCGAAATGAGTAACCACCTGAGCAGAATGTAGGAAGAACAACTAGAATGAGAACCGAGTCGACAAGGCTAGTTGGATATGAGAGGTTTCCATATCAAGCCATCGATGCAGATGGTGACTTCATAGAATAAGTGATGATGATGGATAAATAAGAACCAATTGATTTAGATCAAGCCTTGAATGATTCAAATTGGTTGGTAGCTATGCAAGAAGAACTTAGTGTAATTGAGAAGAACAAGACATGGGAGTTTGTAGAAAATTCAATCAATAAGCCAATTAATGTGAAGCGGGACTACAAGTTAAAGCTAGGGCCAAATGGTGAAATTACCAAGCATAAGCAAGACTAGTGGCAAGAGGTTTTCTGTAAAAACTTGGTATCGACGTCAATGAAGTGTATGCTCTTGTGGCAAGACTAGAAACCATCAGGATTATTGTGTCAACCGCAACATACAAGGGATGGAAGATACATCAACTAGATGTAAAGTCAGCATTTATAAATGAACCGTTGAAAGATGAGACATATGTCAGTCAACCACCAGGATTCAAAATCAAAAGGCAGGAGCAGAAGGTGTACGAATAGAGGAAGGCTCTCTATGGTTTGAAGTAAGCATCAAGGGCTTGGAACATGAGAATAGATAACTTCTTGATCAAAGTAGGTTTCATAAAGTGTGTTTTAAAACATAGAGTATATGTCAATGACCCATTGTTGCACCCTAATTTTTGACCACAAGATCCCATCTCTTGTACGCATTTTTTTTATTGTCATTTGACTTTATTTTTTTATATTTATGCTTGTTTTTACGGCTAACCAACTTGTGCAGGTGCCATAGTGCTAGATAGATAGCGTCCATTCTCGATCACAAAAGCATGAGAATTAGGATAACAGACATGGTCATTTAGGGAGCGGTCACGGCTTTCATTAGTCAGTGGAATTTCAAGTTATCCTTGTTTGAACGGGGAATAAGTCAAATAATTCTGGAGGTTGGATCATTCTTTTAAGTTGGGCTATTTGGCATTCGAAAATTTCATGAGTAAAGATGCAAGAGATGATGCAAGTCTCACCTTGAGGATTTATCGAACTCAGAGCATTTCAACTTACTCTAAAGTTGATTCAAGATCCAGGGAACTAAAATTAAAGTCACCAAGAGAATCCAGGTCCCAAAGGCTTACGAGTTGAAGACTCGAAGAAATCATGCGAGCATATGGGAAAATCGACGTGATGCTAAGTATACACCCATGACATGTAAAGAAGTATGAGAAGTTTGGCTGCATTATTATCTACCAGATCCAATTACAATCAAGGGTTTATATTACAAAAGAAAGTTCTTTAATTTAACAACTTGCAAAATTTTGATGCTTGCAAAAGGAGTATGTATGCTACAATTCCCTCATTCACTATAACAAATCTCTCAGCTCACTAAGAGAAACACTGAACGGGAGATACATTCATGTGGAAGACTGTTAAAGAAAGTTTTGTTACAACTCCAAAGCTCTGTCGAATCCGCAACCTTTAGGTGATACTTTTAGAATGCCGGGACATCATCATTAATATTTGCAGGAGAACCAACAGACAGCTGCACTTGCTATCCGCTGCCATGGAATCATTGAATCTACTTAGCGTAAACGGCGGCACCCGTGAAATCTTCGTACAAGCCTGCTGGAGCAAAGAGCAATTTAGAAAGAGGTCAAGAGATGAACGAATTCAGAACATGTCCGGATGCGATGACTCGAAGAATATAGTTTGGAATTATTTACCTGTTATGTTCATAAAGAGCTTCCCAGTTGAAGGTCTATCGGCAGTATCTGGAAGCAAGCCACTAACTTCAGAACTGAAGTCACCTCTAAATGGAATAACCGCCGTAAGCCCGTCTGATAATGTTCTTCAGCTTTCTCGCCACAAAACACAGCAAACAAGTATTTTCCACCAGCAGTTCCGACAACATGAATATAGAATGAAGTAAGGCCACCTGATTGCATCATCGGTGTACAGCAACAGGAATGGTACGGTAATCAGTTTTCGTGACGCAGGAGGTTCTCGAAGCTTAAATATCAGCACACCTTTCATATAGCATCAACATTTTATCAGTAACAGCATCAGTACTCATATAGCATCGACACCATCTGCGAACATCATCAACAGCACATCGGCAACAAGCATTTGTCAGCAGCAGCAGAATGTCGGTTGCGATCATTCCCACAGCATCCGCAAGCTCTTCAATATCTGCAAGCTCTTCAACATCAGTCGTCAACCAATCACGGCGACACGGCGAAACCTGTCAATATAGCAGCAATGTTTCAGAAGAATTAATTCAAGAAGTTCTTCACGCCATAGGAAACCAGTTGCAGAAAATGAGTAACTATAGTTAAGCAACAAGAAGCGACCCTTTAATCCAGACTAGTTATGACAGTAAGAATCGCAAACAACCTGAAGTGTTGCCCGTCTTCGAAGAACCAATAGCCACCAGGACAGTTAACCAGCTCTATTTCCTCAGTCTCCAATTAAGGCCACTTACGGTGAAGTTTCTAAGAGCTGGAAACACGAGCTAACACGGGGCATTGCTTGCGTGTCAATGCTACCTGAAATGAGAGACAGTATGATCAGTTAACACAAGAACGGAGCCTTCACCAATCCGTACCATGTTCATGCTACACTAAATCTGCTACAAACTATAAATTCACCACAAATACTCAGAGCACCTTAATATGGATCCAATCGTTTGCGAATCTTCGGCGTCAACGTCATCTCTCTGTGTCCACGTCAGCATTCATCAGAATCATTTACGACCAACTTCTCTATGATCATGGTCCATTTGAGCATCCTTAACCTTTACACAAGAGAACCAGGGTCAATTACCACGACAAGAGAGCAGGAAATCAATTTCCAAACTAGAGGCTTCAGCTCACCTTTCTTTCTAAATTACGAACAAACCCACGGCTCTCACTTCAAAACCATAATTGGAGTCGTGCACACCAATAAGGGAGCATCATGCCAACATTGTAGTTTCTACTTCACATTGTCGACATTATTTTAACTCTTCAAAGCTCACGATACCAAGCCACCTCGCTAACGGTATCCCACTCTCGCTCAACCTCAACCTGCGTTCAATAAAGAATCTAATTGTCAGTCAGATTTAGAGCAACAAACAATGACACGAATTGAAGACCAGAACTCAGGCACAAATTCATTACCATCCCGCAAACGTAGGAAATAATCCATTGATTCGAAGCTCTTCCATAGC